AGAAGTTCCTTTCTTTCTTTTTTCCCACTCTAAATTATGTAGATTCATATTATCCTCATGTAAATCTCTTAAATTCTTCATCGGTCATAATTGCTAGTCCCTTAAAGAGTTCACTACTGTCATGATCTCTTTTTCAATCTTAATATTTCTTATTGGATTGGCAGTTTGGCACACCATAAGCTGATGCTGACCCTAATTTGTTTTGATGCAGATGGCCCGGAAAAAATGGGGACAAGAAATTTTCTGTGGTGAGTGAACTTCTTTAGTCCTTGGTAGTGACCTGTTGGTGGATTTATTTTTTGAGACTTATTCTTGCTGTGATTATGTATGGCCAGTATTTGGTCTGTTTTTATGGGAAATCTCATGGCGTTAACCTGAGGAACTTCATTGAAATCTTGTCCTTCTCATAATTATTGTGTATTGCTCATCTGATCTCTTTCTGATATCGATCAAATGATGAGTGAATTGGGAATTTCAGGAAGACAGGCTGAAACTGGAGAATCAGCTGCATGATATGGCTTTAGCTGTTGAGAGGTTGGAAGGCAGTAGGCAGAAGCTCTTAATGGAGGTAATTTCTATCTGAGATAGATTAGCTACTTTATCAAGTATATTCCATCCAATGAAGTTGTTCCGATTTTGTTAATAATCTGATGAGGTCGCTGGTTTGTCATGTTGGCAGATTGACTCACAATCTACTGAAATCGAGAGGCTTTTTGAGGAAAACTCTAGCATCTCAACTTCGTACGAGGAAGCGATTGGAGCTGCAATGAGATGGGAAAATCAGGTAACAATCAGTGGCAAGGCATTTGACGAGATTTGGTGTGTATAGTTACTGGTTTAGGGTATCATCTATCCTTTGTTTAGTTGTAAGTTTTTTAATTTTCAGGTTTTTACAGGACATAGGCTGAGCCTGTTAATCTCTTCACTATCTAAAATTGTTGAACAAATTTGATTATGAACTGGAGACCATCCCCTACGCTTTTTTTCCCCTTTATGTAGAGAATCATATAGTTATCAGATAATAATCACTGACTAGATTCGAGCCAAGTATTTCATTTCATATACTGGTATCTCTTACATGTTTAGTCCGTGGTGACCTGTACTTTAAGATTTTGATGGTGCCAGACCATAAATGCTTTTTTTCCTCTTAAATGACTGTGTGCTCACATGCAATCCCTTAGGTGAAGGATTGTCTTAAGCAAAATGAAGAGCTCCGTGGGATTCTAGATAAATTGAGAATGGAACAGGCTAGGGGCTTCCCTGACTCATCCAGCGATGGGGCACATGTGGCCGTTTCCTCAGCATCTACATCAGAAATGGTGTCCTTGAAGGTTGGTTAGCTTAAGCTGCGCGTGGCATATTTGTTCCTCCATGTTGTCATCTTGTCCAATACGACAATGGGACTAAATAAACTATTGAGATTACAAGAGTAATCTATTTTTTTATCCTTTTTAAAGGGGTATTACTGGATTGCAGTTATCTTCTCTAAGCTTTGACGTAATTTCACCCCCCCTTTTTTTTTTCCTTTGAAAGGGTCAACTTGTGAATGAACAGAGCAGAGCAGAGGCACTATCCGCACAAGTCATGCAGCTTTCTGTGCAACTCGAACAAGCCAAACAAGCATATGATGGTCTTTCACGCTTGTAAGTTCCTTTCTTCCCAGGTATTAGATTGAGGCCTGCTCTTTGTTGTCCGAGTATATCTTTTTTAAATATGACCTTTGAATATTGCAGCTACAAGCCCGTGCTGCGCAACATTGAAAGTAGTCTCATTAAAATGAAGCTGGATGGTTCTTTAGCTGTGCGGTGATGCCAGTGAGCCTTTCTTGTGATGATACTGGGGATGAGAACCATTCGCCAGGGAGAGTCGCGCGTGAGAGCCATCCCTCACACAGCCGTAGACCTGTATTTATAAAGCGTGTAACATTTTTTTTCCTGTGTACCATCATTAACGGGTAAAGAACAAGTATCAAAGTATTGAGGTTTATCAAAGATGATGATGATAATTTTGTATTAACCACATTGTTGGTCGAGAGATTCATTTTATAAAACATAACTCCGGACATCTTAGGTAGGCTATTTCACCTAAACGAGGAGGTAAATATAATGAAATTCAGTAATCTCAAAGACGACGACTACCTTCAGTCTTTTTTCTTTTAAAAATGAAAAATAAAAGCTTCCTGCTGAATGTATCATCCGAGTTATATTATGTGACGTACGAGATAAAATAACTATGTGATCACCATATTAATACTACGAGTAATTCGTTTTAAAATAGTATTAAAACATAACTGTTTTCACAGTGAAAAGCGAATTAACTCATTTATAAATATTACGGAGCAGCTACAAATATAAGTACTGTGGGCTGCACTAGTGACCTCAAACGCCCTGTCGATGAGAATATAATGCGATGGAAACCATCTGTCACGGGCCATATGTCGCTTATAATTAGCTTCCAGCTGTTTCTCCCCAACGCATGCCACAGCTAATGGTCATGCCTTTGATTTACAATAATTATATGTGCCATTTCAATATTTTAATTAAAGCATCATCCCTTCTGCTTATTCCTGCCCGCACAGGTTAAACCTTAAAAAATTCAAACCAAACTTATGCTCCACTGCAGGTCGGTCGTGGCATATCACTTTTACTACTTTGGACCAGTCTGGTGAAGAATCGGTGAGGCTCAAAGTTCTGAAACATCGGGCGACGATGGTAAAAATCCATAACTAACGATTAGGATACTTATCAACTAAGCAATTATACGCTTAGTGACTACTACCTTGGAAAGAAAGGAGAAAAGTAAACATGATAGGACTTCATCAACCATACCTCTTCTTTTTCCGCTCTTTTCTAGTGTCGCCACAATATATAAGAGCGAAATCAAGCCCATCAATGTGCGGAGTTCAGTGACCTTTCCATTTTCAGTCATGAAAAGCAAAAACATCTGTTTCTGCATCCGGATTGGAAACCAAAAGAGTAAGGAAAACATGCCGGGAAATGCAGAGAAGCTTTCCAAGCAAAAAACATCCGATCATCATCACAAGTCTCGGAAGAAGGGAAAAAGTAGAGGATATGCCTCTGCTACTCCGGTCGATGATGCTGATGGCGGCGTTCCCGGAGCTACCAGTACCGGTGGCACTGCTAATGCCGGAGTGACTGCTGCTGTGGTGACTGCGGTACATATGTCAGCAATGAGTGCGAATGAAGGTGGCAGTTCTCATGGTCACGGCGGCGATTCTGGTGGCGGTGATGGCGGTGGGTGATCGTGGAATTATGTTATTTACTTGTTTCCCCGACGTTGTTCCCCTGTTCTAATTTGTGTTCATGTCAAGGGAGGCATGTTCTTAATGTTTCCGTCGATCCCCTTACTCCGACCAAGACCGAGATTTTTTGGGAATTCACAAGCTATTAAAGCTTGACGGCATCCCATGGTTTTGTTGGATAAGTGAAGAGCAGAATATCATAAAACACCAGAGTTTTGCATTCCTATAGTCTTCCTTCTGTTGCTCAGTTCTGTGTGTGTGACAGTGCATAATATATGTTCATTCATAGTCTGTCGTGGTACTGTTATTGTGGCTTCTCTTCTCACTGAATCCTATTTGGTCATATTTCCTTATTTCCTGTGTCGCGAAGCAGTTTTGAATCTGGAACCTACGGATCAAAAATCAAAAGAACAAAGATAAACAGATTTTTGAACTTGTAGGAGCAGACCGCCAGAATCTTACCGAATCAAATATTGATGGTGCTGGCATAAGAAGCATTGAAAGCCGCACAGCGTTTCGATACGTTGACGAGTGCTAGCTTGCTGAGCTTGAATCAAATATTAGTCTTGATTTTAAGATAACCATTTCTTGAGTAGTTGAAAGAAAAGGATACAGAAATAAACCAAGAGTATTAAGAGCTCATGTCGGCCTCCATCGGAGATTTGCGCTTCGCTACTGCTCCCTCAACAACTTGGAAGTCAGAGCTTGAACCAAACGTGTGCTGCTTTTGCAAAGCCATCCAACCTTGAAGCCATGAAGCATAACTTGAGTGTTTGAATCATAATTTCAAGAAGGGAAAATTAATTTGAAAGTCCTTGCGGTTTTGCTCCATTTTGAATCAGGTTCCTAAATTTATTTATTTTTCATTGGATCCCTTAATTTTCTTACTGATAAATCCATTACTCCCTCCTGTTAAATATGAAGCAACACCTTCAGTCGAAAAATAAAATAAAATGAATTAACACCGTTACAATTTTCTGTCGGTGACTTTCAAACATCTCCTTCTCTTTCCTTCTGCCATAACCTCAGGTCGACCCAACTCTTCTTTCTCCTTCACCCATTCCTCACCGTGGTACCTTCCTCTAGGATTTCTTTCTTCACTGTCTAAAACTCTCTCTCTCTTTTACATATGATGAAAGCCGAGAAACATGGTGTAATCAAAGTGACAGCAACGAGAATTAACAAAAGAAAGAAAACCCATCAATGTCAAAACTTCAAGTGATCAACCCAAAAAAGCTATCAGGCTCTCGTCATCGTCATCAGAACATCCATAGAGCTTTTAGGAAGATCGATCGTCAACTCCACCATTCAGCAGCACCCAATATAGGTGAACACATATGCTCAAATCTTAAATTCTACTTCTCAGGAGCTCATCAAGATTCTATTTACGCCACAAAATTGAGTTCAAGAGGGGCGTAGATGGATGGGGATGGTAATGGTGGGTTTTGGTGTGATCAAAAGGATCAAATTTGCTTAGAGGGAATTTAATGGCTCTGGATGAGTCAGGCAGTGATCAAAAGTTCCTTCTTGACTTACTCGCAACAAACAATTTTCTTTAGAAGATGATCTTGATATATGTGTTCATATATATATATATATATTACCACCACTCTTAATTATAAGATCTCGTTTATAGACTATAAATAAAGTTTTATAATTAGGATTAGAGGTAGTATATGACTTGTTCTTCTGTTTTGGAATTGGAGATCTACTTGGAGAGGGGGAAGAAGAAGAAGCAGTCGACCGCGCAGTGGCATCAGACTCGGAGGACTCGCATGGCAGCAGTGGACCTTTCAGATGTCATTAACAAAAAAATTGCAACACTGATAATTGATATTTAATGGTAGAGATTAACTGATTTAACAGTAGAAAGTTAAAAGATTCAATAAAAAGAGAAAAAAAAAAGGTTCGGGAACCTAATTGAAAATCAAATCAAACGATAAGGATTTGGAAATTAATTTTTCCTTTCAAGAAAAACAGTCCTCACTTGAGAAAAGAAATTAGGAAAAACGCATGATTTTTTTTTACCCGAAAAAAACACACATGAATTTTTAATATGTATTAGTTAATTAATTAATTAATTAATTAACCCTAACAATTAAGGGGACACAAATACTTAAATACTACCTCTCCTCCTGAATATAAAAACTAGTTTGAGTTTTAATTTGATCTTAAATATATAACTTCTGTCTATTTTGTCTCTCATATTTATATTTTTTTAAAATAGTTTCTGTAATTATTATACATGTTAAAATTTTCATTAACTAGTAGTTTTAACTAGTACACATGATTAACAAGATTATTTTAAGAAAGACAACATCTATTTATGACAAATAACTAATTTCACAAATTTTTTTAATCTACTCAAATTAGTCAGTTAACTTTTATATTAAAGACCAAAAGCACTATTTAAGAAGTAATTAAATATTTCTTAATCAATAATTTCAAACAATATATTTGAATATGTGTTTAATGACATAATTGAGTTTTTAAAATGTTTGAATTATAATTTTTGAACTTAAACAATCTTTTATGCCAACTTATTTAATTCAAGCTAAAAAAACTACCATTTTTTCAACGTCAAATGAATTTCTCTAAATTTTCAAAATTTGAAAATATAAATTTGATGAAATTGAAAACTAATAATATTAATGCATTATTTGTAACGAATCTGCAAATTAGATAATATAAGAGATGTTTAGATTAACTCGAAAAATAATATATGGTTTGTAATGAGTTTCCAAATTAGATTTATCAAACAATATTTAAATTGTCTAATTATCTTAACTGAAACAAAAGTGATCCTAGGAGATGCCAATGGGTAGAAGATGTTTGCCCTAATAATTGTTACCCTTACGCGGTCTGGTTTTAGACTGTATCATATGAATAGACAACAATTTTGACAATCAACAAGTTCAAAACAATCTTCGATTATCTTGTAAACTTTTATTCTATTTTATTTTTAGATACTGTTCGGTACGAAGCATTAAAAATAAGGGATAAAAATTGAGACTAAAATTGAGAAAATAGTGTTTAGCATGAAAGATTGCTTGTTACATAAGATTAGACGAATTCATGTATGTGGGATTGAGAAATACTAAGAGAAAAAGTAGTATTCCCCAATGCTAATTTCAAGAGTTTGCTTAATTCCATATAACAAGCCATTACTCATACTAAAGGCTTTTTTAATGATTTTTTTTCAATTATAATCCTAGTCTTTATTTCTTATTTTTAATGCTTCGTACCAAATAGTACCTTAGACCTTACTTAGTGTTAGATCACAGTACCTACTCAGACTTGCATTGTCTCAAGGTTAAATCCATGTTCATATATTGACCTCCGAAAAATAATCTATGTTAATGTATCTTGCGTTTTTTTCGTACATCAAGAGGCTAAAAATCCAATTAGTTAAAAAAAAAGAAATAAAAAGAAACAAAAAAGACGTTAACTTTTTTTAATTCAAACGCATGTATGTTTTACATTACACTCCACCAATTCTATTTTATAAAATTACAAATTTTTTGAATAAGTATGTTTTTTATAAGTTACAATTTCTATCTAAACACTTAATATATTTTTTTCTTTTTATCATGAATTAATTACATGTCTTTTTTATATTATTTTTACTTGTTTTTCTCTCCTACCCTGCTTTTTTTTTAATATATAAGAGTAATTTTTTTCAAAAAAAAAAAGGTCACTTTTGTAATATATTTATTGGTTTTAATTAATTTTAACTAACTTTTTATCCGTATAATTTGGTTATTTGGTTCTTGGAGTACTTAGCCGACTTAGGATCAATCTGCTACGTGGAAGAGGATGGTTAGCCGTAGGAGTGCGTATCCCATCTTAGTCCGTTAGATGAATTGGACGGTCTAGATCAACCTAATACCTTTTCTGTTTTTAAGCGAAATAGATAAACCCAAGATCACAAATGATGTTTCCCACTCCGACCTGGAGGATCTCGACGGATCGTCAATTTGTTATTTAAGCTGTAAGCCCTAGCCCCCGAATCTCCCGTCCCTGTGTTGCTGTAGAGTATGGCTTTCACCAAAACGACCGGTGCCGTCCAGGCGGCCCAAAACCCTTCGCAACCGGCGAAACTACGGTGGGGCGAACTAGATGAGGATGACGGCGAGGATCTTGATTTTTTGCTGCCGCCGCGACAGGTGATAGGTCCCGATGAGAACGGCATAAAGAAGGTGATCGAGTACAAATTCAACGAAGATGGCAATAAGGTGAAGATCACGACAACCACTCGTACTCGCAAGCTTGCTAACGCTCGCCTCAGTAAGCGGGCCGTTGAGCGGCGATCGTGGGCCAAGTTCGGCGATGCGGTTCACGAGGATGTTAGCAGCAGGCTTACTATGGTGTCCACGGAAGAGATCCTTCTTGAGCGACCTAGGGCTCCGGGTTTGTTTCTGCCATCATTTGCTTGGTTTTGTTCGTTGAATAAATTTCTTCTCTTTTCCTTTTTGGTCGAATTCTGAAATAATCGGTCTGGAACTTCTGCCGTGCTTTCCTTTTATCCTCCTCTGGGGCTTTTAATGTTGGAGTTCGACTCTAGTGTTGGAGTTCGAAACATTTTTAGGCTCCAAAACGGGCGCCCTCCCGCTGATTTCTTTTTGTCTTTTGTCCTCAAAGATTTTATTTAGCTTTAGCTTTTGTGTTTTTTTGTTTTTTTGTTTTTCTGGGTGAGCGCAGCAGAGTCCCATTAGATAAAAGTGCAGCTAATAATCTAAGTTCGGAAGAAAAAAAAAATCATTCCAGGCACTGCATCGCCATTGATTTCATTCTGTATTGCGAAGCTTTTATTACGCTCCTGTGTCCATGCGTTTTCTCCTAATTGTTGAAACTTGAGCTGGGCCTATATGATATGTAGTTACTCTTAGTTCGTAATGAGATCTAGATGAATTTGGCTGGATAATTCGAAAATACAATGCTGATACATTTATGATGTGTATCATTATTTTTTTCCCTTACTTCTGTTGGGGTTTTGGGGGAGGTTGCTAAGTCTTCAAAAACAAATATGTGGCTGTGCATCAACGGCTTAACTTTATCCCAAAACTTGGGAACTGCTCAGGGGGGACTTCTCTCTACATAAATAACGTGTGTGCTTGATTCAGTTCACAGTTTGATATCAGTTGAACTGGGGAATCCCTTGCAATATCAAGGTCTCTGTGAGCATATAACCTGATATAGTGATATATAGTCATTAGCTTCTGCTTCTCTTGGCATTGATAGTTTTTGGCCGCGCATGCAAAATGGTATCTGTGAGCATATAACCTGACATATAGAGCCCTGGAGACTCTGTAAATTTTAACGTGCCTGCAACCGCAAGCGACCACAGGTGAGGTGGGCTCCTATATATTCTCTTGGTTCAAAGAAAAGGGCACAATTGTAAATGTGCGAACTTTGTTGGCCTTGAATTTTGGCATCTAATATATTATTTTTGCATGAAATTGATGCATTTGAGAAGTGGTGTTTCACTGAACTCATTGACTGTTTATGTCGTTATTGCTTACTGTTTGGATAATTATCCTGCTTTCTTTGAGCTTTGATCCATCATGTCTCTAACATTTCCGTTCTTAACAGGTAGCAAGCCAGAAGAACCGAAGGCTGCTGGAGACCCATTGGCTCAGTTCCAAAAAGGTGCTGTTCTTATGGTTTGTAGAACTTGTGGGAAGAAGGGAGACCATTGGACGTCAAGGTGTCCATACAAGGATCTAGCCCAACCAATGGAAGCATTCATTGATAAGCCTGCTGCATCAGAAGCTGCCACTGCCACTTCTGGTCCAACCAAGGGAGCATATGTTCCTCCTGGTCTGAGAGCAGGTGCAGAGAGAACTGGATCAGATATGCGGCGAAGGAATGATGAAAATTCTGTACGGGTCACTAATCTCTCTGAGGACACAAGAGAGCCGGACTTGCTTGAACTGTTCCGTCCTTTTGGTGCTGTAAGCAGAGTCTATGTTGCTGTTGATCAGAAGACTGGTATTAGCAGAGGATTTGGCTTTGTTAACTTTGTGAACAGGGAAGATGCCCAGAGAGCAATTAACAAACTGAATGGATATGGTTATGACAGTCTAATCCTTAGAGTTGAATGGGCCACTCCAAGAACGAACTAAATTTTGCGGTACTGCCCGTTGTTTCTAAACTATACTGAGAGGCCTATCTAATTTTGCTACCAGCATTGTATTTCTATTTTCTTCAAATTTTGAGATTTTTATAATTACGTGTTTTAAATAAGTGTTAGTAAATTTGCTTGATTAATTACTACTATGTTAGTTGATTTCGTGCTTCAGAAGTACTATACGGCCATTGTTGTTACGTTTCATGGTCACCTGAAAGCTGTGAGTGAAGGCTTTCAAATGTTTGTGCTGAATTCAGGCATGTTCTTCTAGATAAAACCAGAGCACGAAAGTGTGGCAGAACAAAGAGATGGGAAGAGATAGTCCGTTAATGAGGTTTTCGGTATTATATGCATTGCGATTGGCTAATAAGCTGCGCAACTTCGCAACTAATGACTGGCTATGACTAACTAACTGGCTATCACTAGCTAAGGGCATAACTGATTAACTTAACAAATGGGAATTAACCGTTTTCCGTTGAGTATGCACTAATACCAAGTACAAGAGGCGGGTCCTTGTTCCCAGTGGGGAAACTGGCGCTGCTGCTTCGGACTTGGATTCTCTCCACTTCCTTCCCATCATCTTCCCTCCACTACCCTTCTTTTCTCTTCACAACCATTGGATTAAAATTCCAATGGTCCAGATTTAACATCTTATAAAAATAATATTATTAAAAAAATAAATAAATAAATTTAAACTGTTAAATCTGGTCTGAACAGTTTACAATTGTAATAAAAAAATTAAAAAAATTTGCTCTATAATAACAGTCTGTAGTTATGAACTGTTCAGATTAGATTTTAACAGTTTAAATTTATTTATCTATTTTTATCATAATATTTATCTTTATAAAATGTTATAAAATATTAAATCTGGACCATTGGAGTTTTGATCTAATGGTTGTGAAGAAAAAAAGATGGTAGTGGAGGGGAAGAGGATGGGAAGGGTAGTGGAGAGAATCTGATTCCCTGCTGCTTCTGTTCTTTCTTCCTCCGCTTCCCCACTCATCTTCGCAGCAAGATGAAAGTTGGATAGGTGAGGTTTTTAGTAGTTTACAAAATTATTTTTTTATTTATTTTTCCTTCAACATAAGTATAGTCTAATATTTCAATAATAATCTTATACAATATTAAATTTGAACTATTGAAATTTTATCTAAGGATAAAAATGATAAGGAGAGAAAGCTAAGGGAAAGTAAATTTAATTTCAAAAACTTTATTGATTATAATTGAAATGCAACCCCTCGCTTATAAAGATTTTTCTTTTATGTTATTAGACTGCAAGACCAGGGCATTGACCTGGATGTTCAAAGGAAGGCATCTGGATTTGCACACACGAGGTATCCATGCAAAACATCGCGCGTATTTTTGTTGTGGATATATGTTATACACGACTATAAATGCCCATAATTTCCGAAAAAGAGGATCTACAATAATTATTCAACTTAGAGACAATGACGTGTTGTCTCTGCCATCTTATTTTTTGAAACTCTTCCCAGGTACACTACCTCTATAATCGTACGCCAAATTTTTAATGTATAATAGTTAATTTAACTTTTAATTTAGTTATAAATATAAGATTTTAATATTTTTTTTTGGTACTTAATCATTTTTTAAAAAGTAATATTGTAGTAGTTGCACATATTAAAAATTTCATCAAATGTAGCTAATACAGATGATTAGTAAAGATATTTTAAAGAAGATAATACATATTTATTACAAATAACTAACTTAATAAACTTTTTTAATGTACTCAAATTAGTCAATTAGTTTTTATATTAAATATCAAAAGTAGTATGTAAATTAAATTATATTTAGCTTAATCTAATTATTAATAATATTAAATCCATTTCAAATACAATTGAGACAAAACTATGGATGTTGCAGTGAAGAATCGAATATCAATAAACCGGATTTGCTAGATAACTAGACACGAATGGATGAATATTAAGGAATGAAATATATTGATGAAAATTTGTGAATAGTATAGAATCTTAAGATTTGTTCGAGATATACGGATGGCATGAATGGTTCGGAGTTACGTGGAAATATAGAGGCAATGAGAAGGACATCGCGTAGATGAAGAAGTGCATCGATAGGTAGGTAGGTGGATGCAATATGGTAGCATACATCAATGAATGAGGCAGTGACATTGGTTAAGTAATTAAAAACTGAAGGGGTGATGCGTGCAAGGTCACCACAACACAAAGCGACAAGTGATGAGGTATCCGCGCACCTCTTTTCACAAGGACACCTTCCCCCAGCCCCCGGGTTCACACTTGGCACCTTGTATTCCTCAGCAACCCGCCCGTGAAATTATTCTCCCCAGTCTTTCTTATTTTTGGTTTTACCATATATCTTATTTTATCTATATATAGTATTTTATATAATTAAACACCTACGCACATATTTATTATTTTAAAATTCTTACTTAATAATATTAGAGATTAACATTAAAATCGATATTAAGCATTATACAATAAATTTTTATAAAAAAGTTTTCTTTAAAATTTGAAATATATAACTGAGAAGCAAGAGCCATATTTTCTTTTCAGTTTTCCCAACTTCTGGTTTAGAGACAGAAAAAAAAAAAGGGCGGGGGACGGGGGGAGGTCCAGAGGAGCTGGGGTTTGGCCCTTGCCTTGTCTTTTTCTTCATAACCATCACTTTGCTCTCTTCTTGTCGTCTCCCTGTCACATATCTCGTTCTCTCAAATTGCTCTGTGGCCAAGACCTCCTCAACTATGGCTTCTCTATTCGAATCTGGCTGGCAGGTTCTCTTCTACTTCCTCTTTCTGTTTCTTTCTTGGCGCCCTCTTGCTCATTTTTCCCTGATTTCTTTGCTTCCAACAGTCCGTTTGTCATTGGGCTACGTAACACTTCTTTGTCATAAAATGTCTCGCATTTCTCCTCACTTCCGTTCTAATGTTCGCCTTCAAGAAATGAAATCTTGAATTCTAGTCATTGCTTTCGAGCTTGTTTTCTGGTATCGTCTCGAGAATTTTCTCGAGCTTTCTAATTTCTCACCATGGGAAAGATTGAAAGTATGATGTTGGTTATCGATTCATGCTCGCATTATATGAGTAGCAGATTTCGAGGCTGCCAACCAGCGATAGCTAGCCTTCTTTGTTATTCTTGACTGGAGCCAACTCATTGATTTTTGTTTTCAAGAAAAATGTATTTGCTATTATATTTCAGTTGCTGGTTGGCTAGTTGGGTTCTGATGTGCTTATTATATTTGCAACGCATCAACGGATCCTTTCAGTAGTTTGACTTACACAATAGATATTTTTTTCCCCCGATGATGCAGTATTTGATCACGAATTTCAGTGATTTTCAACTGGCATGTCTGGGAACTTTCTTTCTTCATGAGAGCGTCTTCTTCTTATCTGGACTTCCTTTCGTATGGCTTGAGAGGGTGGGATGGCTGAGCAATTACAAGATTCAGGTTTAGCTCTATTGTTTTCTTAAAACTGTACTTCCTTTATTTTAACTCAAAATAAACTATTTTTTTCTTTTCTGCTTTTACCCTCCTAGGCTTTTTTATGAGCCATATTAACTTGATAAAATGAATTTATTTTAACATGGTGGGCATACACATTACCTTGGATGGCACATGCCTTGATATCTAATTCAACTTTCTCATCTTTCACGATCCTAAAACCATTTTTTAGAAGCGAAAGTTACTGCAAGCATGGCTAGAAGCATACAACTTTCAAGTAATGCACGATGTAGCTGATGTTCAACCTTTTAATTCAGCAGAAAGGAAAAAAGAAAGAAACAAAGAAAGAGAAAAAGGATTTTACAGAGAAACCCCTTACTGCCTGTTCCACCAATAGATGTTTGATATTTTCGCTTCTGAACATATAATCTACCTAAAGAAAGAGGATATCTAACCTTCTTTTCTTCAGTTACGAAATTAAATTATCCTTCACTCGTACTGTATGACACCTGCATGTTTCGTATCATTTTTCTCACTGTAGCTCCATTTTGTTTCCTTGTTGGACGCTTCTATTTTGCTTATTTTGCTCAGTCCCGGCCCGTGTGATTGACTGTGATTGATAATGCTGACTTCAATATAGGCAAAAATTAACAGCCGTTCAGCTCAGGAAAAATGTATCAGTCGCTTATTGCTGTATCATCTCGGTGTCAATCTTCCAGTTATGATACTTTCATACCCTGTCTTCAAATACATGGGCATGCGAAGTAGTCTTCCCCTGCCGTCCTGGTACTTTCAGGTTTTTCAAGAGTGCTGTCATTAGTCTGGACGTATGAGCTCCATGATTAGAGATTTTGCTTTTAACACTCATATTTCTTCCCGTTGCTCTTGGCAAAATGAAATTTCTTTAATTTTCTCAGGAGAACAGTTTTATCTCAAATAATCTTCTACTTCATTTTGGAGGATTTTGTATTCTACTGGGGCCACAGGATGTTGCACACAAAATGGCTGTACAAGCATGTACACAGTGTTCATCATGAGTAAGCGTTGCTTAAGTGTAATGTTGGGTTTTGGTTTTCGGGCAATATAATATGATTATTATGTATAAAGTAATTAAAGATAAAATCCCATGATGTGTTTCACTGTACGTATTTAGGTATGCTACACCGTTTGGACTTACCTCTGAATATGCTCATCCTGCCGAGATACTTTTCCTTGGATTTGCTACCATTCTTGGTCCCGCCATCACAGGGCCCCACTTGATGACTCTGTGGTTGTGGGTGGTTCTGAGAGTCCTGGAAACAGTTGAGGCACATTGCGGGTATCATTTTCCCTGTAGTCCATCAAACTTCTTACCCTTGTACGGAGGGTGAGTATTGAGTTCCTCCTCCTCCTTCACAACAGACGCTTGATTTATCCTGCTTTTCTTTGTTCTTTAATTCTGTATCCCAACTTCCAGAGCTGATTTTCATGACTATCATCACCGCCAGTTGTACACCAAGTCTGGAAATTACTCGTCAACCTTCACTTACATGGACTGGTATGTATTGGATGCATTCTGCTAACAACTTTAACGTGTTTAGTCATGGATGATCCAACTCACATATTATCTTATATTTACGGTTTTGGTTCTTATTCCATGTGCCCAAATCATAGTTCTCTCCCAATGGTTAATACTGACAGTGGCGCGATTGTTTTGTTGCCTATCGTATTAGGATATTCAGAACTGATGTTGGTTACAGAAAGCTGAAGGCATTGAAGAACGCAGTCTGTGAAGACAATAGCGAGCAAAAGAAACAATGATAGCGAATTTGATCGGGGGAAGCTCAGAAAATAGATACTCATTTTCAGGGCATATTCGAAAACTTGTGTCCCATCATTGCCTTGTGTGTTTTTTGCGTCTAGTAGCTGTTATTGTCCTTCAGGCTACAGCATGCAATGCAGAAGCCTTTATTCGGACAACTATGCCCTGTTATTCAGACTAAGTAAGTGTTCTACTAGGATGATTTCAGCCCCCTCATCTAATTCATCACACTCTGTCTCTCTCTCACACATACATCTACATATATGATTATTATTTATATATATATATATATATATATGAATATAAGAGAGATATTTATAATATAAGCCAATTTTTTTGTAAATTATGAACGATGTTTATTTTAAATCTCGTATAGTATAATATTTGTTAAAAAAAATCATATCTGGTGATATACATATACAGAGAGAGAGAGAGAGGGAGAGATTTTGGCCATCACCCGATAGAAAGGGTTTATATCTATTCTCACCTTGCAATAATTTGTCAAAACAAGAATGACATAAAAAATTGATTATAAATGAAGGTTCATATATATATATATATATATATATATATAACTAGAGCCTTTTCCCCATGCCATGCATGGGTTGGTTGATGCAGCTATATGTCATATTCTAATGATATCAATTCTAATTGTTTTCTTTTCTTTTTAAGAATCATGTTAATGATGACCAAATATCATGCACAAATTAAAAATATATATTAATTTGGCATGAGCATAAATGCAGGTTAAGGTAAATGATTTATAATTCGATGTATATGAAAAAATTGCTGGCAAATCATTAATCTTCCTCTAGTAATAACAATAGTGAAACGCAATCAATACATAATATTATAATGTGTAAATCAATATTGTATTAATAAAGGTTCTATAAGGAAAAAAAATATTATGACATGAAAAACATTTGTTAGTATGATTGAATTAATGATTAAATAGGTAATTGGACGGAATAATAACACCTGTTAATGTGTGTGTAACTTAGCCATGATTGTTTCTTTGCGTTACGGTATAATTGATAACGTTATATTTAATTGAAAGGTAAAAACACCTCACTTTTATTAATTTTTGAAAATATTACACACAAAATCATCAAAAGGTAAAACAAATAAAGGTCATATACTATATATCTATATATATAGAGTTACCACATCGCAACTTCCTCGTCTGTACTTATCATCTTCAATCATCGTATTAAAGAGAAACCCAATACTTGCACTACCTTTGAGTTCAGTGAATGATTTGGATCGATTTTGACATATACTTGAGGAGATCTCTACCACAAAAGCATCTCTATATAGAGAAAAACAACTTGTACTACTCCGGTCATAAATATAAAACTCCTTTTATAGTATAAATTATACTATAAAAAGGGTCTTATATTTAGAACTGGAGAAATAGTTTGTAATCCAGCCTTGCCTGTTCACCAACAAAAATAGGATAAGAACTTGAAACACCACAAGATAAATAGAGATTGGATTAGATTTGCAAACATAATTAGGAATATTGAGCTACAAGGGGTTTATTTTATATTTATATTTAAGAAAGCTTAACAGCCAAAGATTAACAATCATTCTAGATTTAATGCAAAGAAAGGAACGATAGAATGATAAAAGTGAAATGAAGTTAAAAAAATGATTCTTTTTCTAGAAAAGAAAATGATTCAACAAATCAACTACTATTTGAAATTCCAAGAGAAGACACAACTACTATTCACAGGTGATTAGAAGGGACCTCAAAAAAATACAAGAGATGACCATGTTTTCTCACCATGGAGTAAAGTTGCTTCACGTCATCATGGGGATGGCTCGAATTGAGTGACAAAGCAAATGAAGAACGTCTGGATATTGGAGAGGCTCCATGATTATTCTAAGGTGGCCGTTTAATCATATTTATTTGGAAACATAATTATATTGAAAAGGAAAAGCCGCTGTAATCAATGCAGAAGGGGATTCATTTTGAACGGATATATTGAAGACTTGGTAAACGGAACATGATAAGTAGCGAATTTATTGAGAGTTGAAGACAAACCAATCCATTTTAACTCAAACGGGTATTACAAAAACCGATCCATTTTAACTCAAACGGGTATTACAAGATTTTATATAGAAAGTAGAAGATTCAGGGTACATAAGAAGGAACTAATTTGGATTTATTCTGGCAACCACAAAAAAAAAAAATAACTTTGATTTATTTGTTTCCAAGACCGCCCCGAGCTCACAAACCAAACACTGTAAATCCTCCGTCGATGCAAATGGTCTGTCCCGTTATGTAGGAGGCACTTGGCAAGCAGAGGAATGCCACCATGGAAGACACCTCGCTTGGCTCCCCTACTCGTTGCAAAGGGATTCTTCTGATGAAATTCTCACGTGCCTTTTCATCCTTTTCGAAAAACTACAATAAAATGATTCTTAATAAGCCCCTTGGTTCACGTAACAACAATAAAATGAGAAAAGAATTAAGGGCAGAATAGAATTGTTACTTCTTCAACGAGGCTTGTCTTAATGGGGCCCGGTGCAATGCAGTTGGTCCTTATATTGTCTTTTGCCCACTCACACGCCAGGTTCTTGGTTAGCTGGTTCATTGCTCCTGCATTAATTTCACATTCTCTTAACCAAATTGATTCCCTCCTAACGCATCTTCTTGTTCATCTTTTTGATCATAAATCAGATAAAGAGATTAATTACCTTTCGTTGCACTATATATTGATATTCCATTTATAGCTGTCACACCAGCCACGGAGGATATGAAAACAATGCTTGCAGCTTTTGAAGCTTTTAGAAGAGGGTGTGCAAGTTGGTTTATGTGATATGCCGATTCCAAATTGGTACTGACTATGAAAGAGAAGTCTTCCGCTGTAAAGTCTAGAGTTGGTTTTGTTACGTTTGTTCCCACATTGTTCACCTAATTCAAAGCATGATGGGTGGGCATCACACATTAGTTTACCAGAAAACAGATAACATTAGGACCCAAAATATTTCACAACTTAATCTGCAAAAAGATAGATAAACTACCTAATGGTAAACCATAAGCATGGATTTTACTTTTAATCTTAAAAAAAAGGATGTACCGGTCATGTTCCATGTTTTATGGTATATAATTTGGTCTATCATGGTCAAGTCTAAATTTTATGAGTTCAGTTACCGACAAGGATATCAAGTTTGCCATGAAACACACGGGAGACTTTAGCTATAAGATCTTGTCTCTGTGCAGAGGACACCACATCGCAAACAGAACCAGTAACTTGAAATCCCTTAGCATTCCATCGTTGCAAGCATTCATTAAGCTCAGATTCATTCCTAGAGCAAGTGTGTACGGCAGCCCCTAACTGTGCCAACTCCTCCACAATAGCATACCTAACAATAGCATATGAACACAACTGATTAACCCAAAATTTAATACTTAAACAGACTGATGCAGTGAAAAATCTCCCCCACAGTTCTTATGGGTTTAGGGTTTTTAACTAGCCTAGCCATGTGATTGTTGATGGGAGCGGTGACAATACTTTTATGAATAAATCAAGAGGATAGAACAACGAGTGTGTGTGTGTGTGTGTGAGTGAGTGAGTGAGTGAGAGAGAGAGAGAGAGAGAGACCCAATTCCTTTGCTTCCTCCAGTAACAAGAGCGGTCATGCCCTGAAGAGACCACCTGTTTGCCTCTGCCATTTTCTGCTTTTCTTTCTCTCTGCTTTCTTTCTACCACGTAACTTTCACGAATGCTATCTGCTATGGTTTACCGTTCGGAGTTAGCTTATAATCAATATGATCATCACTGAGGGCCTCGGATAAGAGAGGATGCATTCTGAGGCCCAAAACGACCTTCTTGTTCACAGAGAGATCTGATCCGTTCGTTTCATCGGATAGCTCAAAACTTGTCACTTGTCAACAACCTAACGATAAAACAATTTAACGGGTACGCTCAACAATTTTTTAAAAAGAAAAATTAAAACAATAGAGACAGGAACAGTTACATGTCAGCAGACACCTAACGTAAGAATTGATTGAGCTGTCAAAATTTTATTGGCCAGTACATAAATGAGTAGAATTTCTCGGGCATAATGAGCTTATTAAGGCAATATTGTTACGTTGCGTAGGCTTTCAGGGCGACATTGCGTCAAAAAAAATTTTCTAGATACTTCTCCTCGATGAATACTTTCGGGGTAAAAATGAACCTTCTCCCTTCCAAAATTTTGAATGCTGAGCTGTGACAAGTTTGATTGTATATCCGAATTCCGAAATTATGTTGGACGGCAGAAAATACAATATTAATTTGTGGACTGTTTCAGTCTTATTTAGTCGTTGCGGTCAAAAATGCCAATATTATTTCCACCACTCGTTAAGCCATACCCGAATTTTGAAAGCTTGCCATTGTTCCAATTTAAACCTGTCGCGTATGCCAAAATTTCCACTCTCCATAAAGATTCACGCGAGAAATATAGTCAGAAAAAATATTAAATATTCATAAAGCTCTCTAAATGCTTACTGTTGGTAATTAAATTGTTAGGATTTTTATATTAAAAAAATTGCAAGGATTTAACATAGAGTAAAATACACCGATTATCTTTTTATTTTATCTCAATTACAGAGACCTCCTAGTTATTTTAAAAACATACATAGACCTCTCTTACATTTAAAACATACGTTACACAAACCTCCCTCATATATCTAAGATTTTATTTTTATCTACACAAAAACTATTAGTTGACTATTAAGCTTGACTTTAAATTATTTTTTCACCAAAATGCCCCTTTTTAAATTAATAATTATATAAACATTTATATTTTCCAAAAAATATTTTTATAAAATCAAAAAATAAGTATCTTTAAAATTTCTAATATGTTATAAAATTTATTAATTTTGATATAAATCATAAAATTTATAATTTTAATATTTTATCACATTCATTAGAAATTATTTACTTTGATTCATTTTAAATTATAAAAACATATTTCAAATACATAATTTTTGCTTATCGTAAAATTTAAATGATATAAGTTTACAAGATTTTATAAATTATTTAAATTTATAATTCAAAACTTTTATAAAAATTTATAAACATATTTAGTTAAGTTTATATATATTTATTAAAAGAATTAGTTAAATTTTTAATCAAATCTTTTATCTTTGTTTTAACTAAATAAAATTGATGTAACTATAAAAATATAATCTAGGAATAAATTTTATTTTAATATAAATTTAGGTAAAAATAACATTTTTAGAATCTTTTTAGAATATTCCTAACTGTGTTAACTAATTGGACTAAACTGTATGTTTTTAAAATAGAAAAAAAGTCCATGTAATTGATGCAAAACTAAAAAAAATAGAGAGAGTATTTTACTCTTTAATATAATTACCCACTATTTCCTCCAAAAGAGAAGAGTGTTGCCACACTCCCAGGCATGCACGTGCATAGGACCATCGCATCATATTTCAAATTCCTTGTAATAATCATGAGACTTATCCTTCTTTCTGTAGCAGTGGCTTCCACGTGGACTGTTGTTGTTGCTGCGCGCGTGTGAGGTTGGCACATTAAGGTCTCCTTCCTTTTCCGGTTGCAAACTCTAATCTCGTTTCCTTCTTATGCATAAATGACATTCATTTACATTACCTACCCAGCCAACTGCTAGCTCGTTGTTGATCTGAGTACGGCTTGACCCCCTTATTTTATTTTTCCTTCATGACATCGAAGAAGAAATAGCTCCACAATTTTCTCTTCTCTTTTTTCCCTAACTACGTAATTAAAGGATATATATGTATATATGGGGCTACGAACTGAAAAACATATATACATATATGTATGTATGTATATCTGAAATATGCAGAAGCAGAACTCAAGTTCCGATCTTGTTGTTGCTTGTTTTAGAAACAAAAACCCTTTATTTATGGTTTTGGTGCTTATTCCATGTGCCCATCTCACAGTTCTCTGCCAATATAATGTTGGTTACAGAAAGTTGAAGGCATTGAAGAACGCAGTCGTTGAAGACAACAGCGAGCAAAATGAAACAACGACAGCGAATTTGACTGGGGGTATCTATACGGAAGCTCAGAAAGTAGATTCTCATTTTAAGGGCATATTCCAAAACTTGTGTGCCATCACTGCCTTGTGTGTTTTTGTGTCTAGTGGCTGTTATTGTCCTACAGGCTACAGCATGCAATGCAGAAGCCCTTATTCGGACAACTATGCCCTGTTATTCAGACTAAATAAGTGTTCTACCAGGATGATTTCAACCCTTTTCTCATCTAATTCACCAACACTCACCCGCATATCTACCTATCTATCCATCTCTCTCTCTCTCTATATATATATAAAAGATATATCTACCTATCTATCCATCTATATAAGTCGGAATTTTTATAAATTATGAACAATGTTTATTTTTAATCTCGTATAGTATACTATTTGTAAAACAAGTTATGTCTGGTGATATATACATCCCTGATTCAGAGTTGAAGGATAATTCTCGTGCCTAGTTCACTTTCTTCTTGAAAGCACTTCGCTAATAGTTAAGCTCATCATGTAGATGCCCATAGGAGATTCATCAGTATAGCTTTTTTTTTGTTGGTCATCTATTCAAACAATTTTTGGTTGCAGACGAGGTGGTAATAGAAACTATATATATTTTTATTATGTACGATCAATTACACACACACACATATGAACGTTCGTTTACAATCAATATTTGATGTTATTCTTGTTTTGACAAATTCGTGTAAGGCGGTTTCATCAAACAGGTGGCTGATTCTTTTTGGGATGTGATAAGAACTTGGGAGCTAATATTTTTGGAGATTATTCAATTTGAATGGCCGACGCATCTTCAATTATTCATGTTTGACAGCGATTGATTGCGTCGGGAAGAATTTTTTAACCTAAATTCCTTCTTTCTGATTGTGCATAATTGTAGTGTTTCTAGAAAGCATATTGTGAATAATTATCCTCCAAACGTGGACAGCGTAAAATATTTTAATAGCTAGTGCAAAAGCAAATTTGAACTTTGCCTTCCATATAATTGTGAATTTACGTGCACTGGGGCCACGAACTGGGCAACTGATATATGACTGCAAAAGACGGTTATTTTTAATTTTTTACTCTGTCGTGAAATTTATGAGAACTCAATTGTACAACCGCCATTCAAACAATAGTTTCTGTATAAATTAAAACAAGAATTATTGAGTGATCACTAGGATATGTAACATAAGAAGGAACTAATTTTTATTTATTTGTTTCCAAGACTGCCCAAAGCTCACAAACCAAACACTGTAAATAATCCTCCGTCGATGCAAATGGCCTGTCCCGTTATGTATGAGGCGGGTAAGCAGAGGAATGCCACCATGGAAGACACCTCGTTTGGCTCCCCTATTCGTTGCAAAGGAATTCTTCTGATGAAATTCTCATGTCCCTTTTCATCTTTGAAAAACTACAATAGGAAAAGCCATAATATGATTCTTAATAAGCCCCCTACCTCACATAGAAATTCCACAACAACCAAATGAGAAAAGAATTAAGGATAGAACAGAACTATTACTTCGTCAGCGAGGCGAGTCTTAATGGGGCCTGGTGGAACGCAATTGGTCCTTATATTGTCTTTTGCCCACTCGCATGCCAGGTGCTTGGTTAGCCGGTTCATTGCTCCTGCATTAATTTCACATCCTCTTAACCAAATTAATTCCCTTCTAACGCATCTTCTTGTTCATCTTTTTTATCATAAATCAGATAAAGAGATTATTTACCTTTCGTTGCACTATATATTGATATTCCATTTACAGCTGTCACCCCAGCAACGGAGGATATGAAAACAATGCTTGCAGCGTTTGAAGCTTTTAGAAGAGGGTGTGCAAGTTGGCGTATATGATATGCCGATTCCAAATTGGTACTGATTATGAATGAGAAGTCCTCTGCTGTATAGCCTAGGGTTGGTTTTGTTATGATTTTTCCCGCATTGTTCACCTAATTCAAAGCATGGTGAGTATCACACATTACTAGAAAACAGATAACCTTGGTAACCAAAATAATTTCGAACTTAATCTACAAAAAAGATAGGTACACTAGTTAATTAAGATCTTGTCTTTGTGCAGAGGGCACCATGTCGCAAAAAGAACCAGTAACTTGAAATCCCTTAGCATTCCATCGTTGTAAGCATCCATTAAGCCCAGATTCATTCCTAGAGCAAGTTTGTACGGCCGCTCCTAACTGTGCCAACTCCTCCACAATAGCACACCTAACAACAGCATATGAACAACTGATTCACTAAAAATTTAATAATTAAGCAGAGTGATGAAAACTCTCCCACAAAGTTCTCACGGCTAATGGCTTTAACTAGCCCATAGCTATGTGATTGTTGATGGAAGCGGGAAAAAGTTGCGATATTTTTATGAATAAATCAAGAAGATAGAACAAAGAGAGTGTGTGTGTGTGAGAGAGAGAGAGAGACTCAATTCCTTTGGTTCCACCAGTGACACGTCATGCCCTGAAGAGACCACCTGTTGCTAAAGCTAGTGTTTGCCTCCGCCATTGTCTGCTTCTTTCTCTCTACTTCCTACCACCCAACCCTCACTAATGCCGTCTGCGATACTTTACCATCCTTAGCTTATATATAATATAATCATCCCCGAGGGACTTGAATAAGAAAGGGTGGAGATCGCATCCTGAGGCCCCAAAATTGACCTCCATGCTCACGAGCACTGATCTTATCCGTTCGTTTCTTTAGATGGCTCAAAACTTGTCAGACCTTCAACCTAAAGATCAACAATTCAACGGGTATGATGCTCAGCATTATGGTCGTTTATCCCGACCCGATTAAAAGTACCGGGATATATACGAATACAAGATTTACTGCAGGACAACAGAAAATTTTCAAAAGTTGGTTACGTGTTGGAAAAGTAAAGTCCAAAATTTGAGTGCTGAGCTGTGACTGAGTTTGATTATATAATCCGAAATGGTGTCGGACGACAGAAAATAGAATTTGTGTGCTGTTTTAGTCTTATTTAGTCATTACTTTCAGAGAATGACAATATTCTTTCCGCCTCTCATTACTTGGTCCCCTCCATATTAAGCCGTATATGAATTTTGAAGCTTGTCATTGGTACAGCTTGCGGCGTATGCCAAAATATTAATGAAGCTCTCCAAATTTTACTGTGGTATTAAATGGTTAGGATTTAATATTCTACAAAATTATGATTAAAATGTGAAATTATGAAAAGCAAATGAATAAATTCAAAGTGTGAAAATTTTATCTAAATAATTTAGAACTGGAATTTTAAAAAAATGCTAAATCCTAACCATTCAAAATTTGATTTTAAGAGTCGAGATCTGGAAAGTAGAAAGAAAGTGAAGGAAAAAAGAAATGAAGAGAAGATTATTACCTACGCTATATTATTGCCACATTCCCATGCATGCACGTGTATAGGACGTATCATATGATTTCAAATTTCTTGTAATAGTCTTGAGACTTCACCATTCTTTCTGCACCAGTGGCTTCCAAGTGGACTGTTGCTGCTGCTGCTGTGTGTGCGTGTGTGTGAGGTTGGCACATGAAGGTCTCCTTCCTTTTCCAGCTGCAAACTCTGTAATCTTGTTTCCTTCTTATGCATATATGATATTTATTTACATTACGTACCTACCCAGCCAACTCCCAGTTCGTTGTTGAGGGCGGCTTGACGCCATTCGCTATTTTATTTTTCTTTCATGACATCGAAGAAGGAATAATAACTTCACAATTTTTCTCTTTTCTTTTTTCCCCTAACTACGTAAATAAAGGAAAGAGATATACGTCTAGGAACTGAAAAACATATATACATATATTTATTATTTATATCTGAAATATGCAGAAGCAGAGACCTCAAGTTTCGATCTTGTTTTTGCTTGCTTCTGTAGTCAAAAGTCAAAACATCATTCATAATTTCGTATAATTAACAACTTACGACAACTGCCGTCTTATTTTAAACTATCCTTTAGCTTCACTTTATGGTCATTTACGGAGGATATGCCCATGAGTACAACTTTAATTTTGGGGGGTCATTGGAAAATTCTTTTCAAAAATTAAAAATTTGTGGCTATTTTATATATTATCTACTTCCATGGTTAATTTTTAAATTTTTCATGGTGGCCAAATGGGGTCGTCTAAAGAATTTCGTGATTCTGAAGATGACCTTTTCTATCTTCGAACGAACCAAAACCGATCTGCTTCTTTTCTTTTTTCATATTTTTCTAATTCCACGCTAGACTTTGTTATCAATTGGTGACTTGGTCCTGACAAGTATCAACTTTTGAGTCTTCTAGCTATCTGTCTCCCCATAGACTATATAGAGACAGCAAGCCCCAAGAAAACACTTGATAGTGAGGTGTGATGAGATCAGATCATGAGATTAGACCAGAGCATAGGGCCAGCGGGCAAGCTGTGGACAAACATGCTATTCTCACGAACAAATTAAACTTAATTAACAAGGTCAAAGCGTAACATAGGTAATATTAAATTAATTGATACATCAAAAGCATGACCAACCAGGTCTCACTATTTATCGTTGGATACAACTGAAGCTTACGTCCCGTGCAAGTTACATGCCAGAATGAAGGCAGGCCTTGCAGCCCCATTATAGTTGGTATTATATATTGACACCCACAAAGTTGCCATTTGACCAAATATTCCCTCTCTTTCTATGGTCTCTTGGCATCATCATCTCAACTAAAGAGCTTGTGATTAATGGAGTCTGAAGATCAGGCAACATCGTCAGAAACAAACCCAAGCGATGAGCAAGGAGGAAGTCAAGTGACAAGGTCGTACGAATGCACCTTCTGTAAAAGGGGATTTTCCAATGCGCAAGCATTGGGAGGCCACATGAACATTCACAGGAAAGATAAAGCCAGGCTGAAGCAATCTTCCAACCAAGCTCATCGTCACCGTCATCATCGTCAGCCATCTTTGGATGTTCACAGTAAGGTTGAAGACAGAACTCACGGGCCTGCCTGCAATATGGAAGATTCCTCTTCCAGAGACGAAAACTGCTCCGAACTTCGCCTGAAGCAGCTTCCTTTATTTGCAGAAACACCCTGTGGTGAAACAGAAAAGCCAGAAGAATTAGGTCATATTCATGATAGAGGAATTGCTGAAGAAATCAAGGGTTCGCCCTCGGATTTAGACCTTGAACTCAGACTAGGGCCTGACCCACCCTCCCCCACTATTGGCACCCGAAAATTCTTTTGATCTCGATGCACAAATCTACATGTCTTTAATTCTTCCCCCAATTTTTTTCATGATCAATAAGCAACCCCCCTTCTTTTGTCTAAAATTTATCATTATTTTTTATTTGCATTGGAAAATATTTGTACCTTTTTTTCTAGACAGTCAATTTTAATTATTAAAATCTAATTACTTCAACAATGATTTTTAATTATTAAAAAAACCAAAACCAAGGTTTTGGCTCCAAAACAATGGTTTTGGCTCCAAAACAATGGTTTTGGGAAAAGCAAAAATTTTTTGCTTTTGGAAAAAAAAGGGAGAGTGTGAGAGCCTATAGGATATGTATCTTGTTTTTTTTTTATAAACATATTTTTTTATAAATATATTTAATCTATATCTTATAAATATATACATATTAATTATTTATTAATTATATTATCTTATGTATTATTAATTATATTAATAAAAAATATATTATTAACAATTTTATTCCTTCAAATTAAAATATATCATAAAATATATTTTTTCTGTAATTATCATATTAATTTATGTCTTTTTTAGTAGTTTGTACATGTAAAAAGTGCTTCTGGTAACAACTATCCAAACACTCTCACTTCTCAAAATCATTTTTTCACAAAATCTATTTTTCAAAAAATCTATTCTCCCCAAAATCTATTCTCCAGAAGCTATTCTCCAAACCATGGTTTGGTTATATCTAAACACCCCCTTAGTATTAACTAGATAGATGGCACGTCCTGTAAATTGCTTGAAGTTTGAGCAATGAATGGGATCATTTACACACCCCCCCCCCCACACACACACAAATTATTATAAATTTTATATTTTACATGAATTTACTTACCCTTTGTTCGGATTTGCATGTTATTTGTCTTATGCTTGAGTGGACAAGAGAAACGCTTGCAGGACGGAATCAAACCTGCACATAATTTCCCCGATGAAGAGTGAATTAGGTGCCACTAAGTTATAATAAGTACTTTGTGATTTGTCTCATAGAAGTTTTCTTTATTTTTGTACAATAAAATTAAATCTATATTTTGATTTGTTACATGCATGCCGCATTCCAAATGAAATACTTAGTATTAATGTAAATTAAGGAATAAAATAGAATTCTCTCTGTAAAATTCTAGAGAATTTAAGTAGGGAATGCAAAGGGTGAAAATACATATTAAGATTAATTTGGATATTCATTCATTTCTATTTTAATTAGGAGTGATATATTAAGGCCTGCAGAATTAATTAATAAAGGAATAGCGTCCATGCTGCCGAATCCAATAATCCTCATGTTCAACTCCAAAAGAGGATCGATGAAACCGGGAACCGCAGCATGCATGACCACTTTTGTCGTTAAGAGCTAGAATGTTTCTCGATGAGAGCGAAGAGATTGAAGCCATATGTATGATTGATTATGTTGGTAACAACGTTCGTAACAAGGTAACTTGCTTTTTGCCTCTGTCTTTTATGTATTTCAACGGACGACAACTTCTAATCACCAAACCATCTAATTTTTAGCTCGTCGTCAACACAGTAAGGAATTGCGTGCAGCGGCTTCAACCCAATTTGCATCTCCCATTTCCATTAAACAAGTTTTAAGGAATTGTAATTGTGCGGTAGATGTCGACGTGCCGAGGAGGAAAATATTCTTTCTTTTGTATTATTATTATTACTCCTCCGGTCCTTAATATAAGACCCAATTATTGAGTTGGGTTTGGTCCTAAATATAAGACCCATTTCTCATATTTATCAATTTTCTCTAAACTACCCCTATGGATACTCCCTCAACCATAATCAAATAGAAGAGGGAGATGAGGTATTAAGAAAGATGATTATGGTGTTTTAGGAAAAATGTGTCACTTTTCTTATAATTAACCAACTTACCTAACTTCCTTAATCTAATCAAATTAGTTAAATGGGTCTTATATTAAGGACCGGAGGAGTATTATTATTATTATTATTATTATTATTATTATTATTATTATTATTATTATTATTATTATTATTATTATATTCGGCCATAACCATTGTATTGCATCAATATCTTTATCAATTAAATTCGTACCCTTTCTTCTCGCAAGAAGTTGGCTTTCAAGAGGCTTTTCCATTGAAGCCCAGTCAGCCCCACAGCTTGTTATTCTCGGAGACATTTTGACCTCTTCCTCAAGCTTTCTTCTGCTTTAGCTTTGCGGAGTACTTGTGCATGTAGGCTTCTCTTCTGTCATCATCAAGAAGATCGTTGCTTTTAAGCAGATTCATTTCAAACAAAACAAGCACCCATCGCTAACGGCCGTCACGATCAATTTCTGCAAGAACTCGCAAGTTCATGGGCTAAGCTGTAGCCTGTAAGAAAACACGGATGTGGAGTTTTGTTTTTCCCCTTTTAGTAAAAATAAAATATATTTTATCTGTATTTACACTCGACGCGGGACATGCCATACGCAATCGACGGCATGGTTGGAGCCCGTGGCCCGTGGGTACTGGGTAACACCAAAGTTTAAGATTCACGTCTTATGATCATTTTCAACAACAAATCCTACCTTTACAGCAACACCCGTGATTACTTGGATTCTTAGCCCATTTGGAATTCCAGTAAATTCATTGCTTTAGTTTAAATCCTCGAATATTTTAAAGTTCCTTCCCTGACCTTGGTCAGATTTAATCCCTGGATCAATGAGAATCTGTGTTTTTGTGGGGCGTATAAGGAACACCTTCCACCTCTTGAACTCTCAATGTATCACGTGGTTTTCCTATTTGATACTGTATTTATGAAGGGGGGAAAAAATGTCCGCGCATGCAAAGTTTTCTTCAAAAACTTCCGTGAAAGCAAGCACGGTGCTAGGACCTATGCACTCCCAAAAGTGGGGTTTAGTCTTTATATCAATAAAATGGAGGAAACCATTCCGTCAGCGTATTTTGAATGTCATTTTAGTTGTAAGTTTCACCTTATTACTATATACTACTCATCAATTTTTTTCAACTAAAGGAGTGTTTGTATTAGCCTTTGAGAAATAATTTTACAGATTCTGAAATAAACATATGAAAGAAATTGTCTCCGCTCTGCATAAAAACACTTTTTTAAGTGCTTTTTGGGGATTCTAAACACCGAATTAACATTTCCTTTTGGAATGGAAAGGAAGTTCACACAATCATAGGAAGCTTGGAAGTTGAACCGTTTCGCAGTCAAATGAGTTTAAAAGACAATAAAAGGACGGACTGGAAAGTAAGTTCACAATTTCACATATAAATCATTATTCACTTTCACAGGCAACCTTCATATAAATAAAGAAAAAGAGAGATGCCCCATTTAAAAAAAAAAAAACACACGCACGCACACATTAAAGACTAGTTTAGAATAGGTAGAAGAATGCACGCCAAATTCAGTAAAACAAGAGTCTATTATTGAAATCATCAAATCCCATACGCCCATTTAGGTATATAGGGCTAAAAAACCGAAAGTCCTAATGTTTCTACACAACCGGTGAGCATTCCCAAAATAGATACTTGTTCGCATTCCCAAAATAGTAGATATCAAAATGATATATAGTAACTGTAGAGGGTTGCACTCTTCACTATCCATACAAATGAATGGATTTAACATAGACTTGACATATGGAAACAAGAGACTGAAAACAAAAAACAAGAGAGAACAAGGGCAGGAGGGGAAGGTATTTGTGTCAGAATAAGGCATGGAAGTCAGAACAAGTACTAAATATGAAGCTACAAGAAGCGCCAAAATTCTACAATGATGTAAACATATTTACATAAAATTAGTATATGCACAATAACACGTCTACGTAAATCTTACAAAAACATATCAAACCCAGAATGGGTCCAAGAATCATAGCACCATGTAGAATTCCAGAAAACACAGTCCAGGACACTGTCAACCTCACATGGAGCTTTGGACAACAAACAGGGAGAAAGGACAGCCTATATAAACACAGCAGATTACTTATCTAAAGACGAGTTCTATTTAAAACAGCCTGTAAAAGTTGTAGAAGAACGAAGCACTTCACCTGAATGGAAGTTCAAAATGTAAATCCGCACATGGTCTGCTCACCAAATCATCTAGAGTTGACATTAAATTCATCTACCAATTGACCAGAAAGCCAATTCAGTCCCAATGTTGTTAATAACATTAACAAGACCTTAGAATATATTGTCTCAATAACAAAATCAATCAACACTACTAACACCTTAAAACTATAAAATACGAAACAAAATCAGCAGAAAGCAACCAGAAACCCCTAAATAGGCTACCTGAGAAAACAATACGTAAAATCCCCAACTATGGGAAAACATTACCAGTAAAAATTGGGCAATATTGCACTCAACAGATTTGCTCAGAAATCCTCATTTATCCATTTCCGCTGCCAGCAGTAAAGGTAGACTACATCAAACATTTACCAATTAATAAGAGAACAAATACATTTGAAAAGCCGCAAGTTTCCTAAAGAAGGTAAACAGAAAATTCGCAACAAGGTCTTAAAGGATATAACAACTTCAAAATCAAAAGCAACATATTTAATTATTCAAGCCCTTCTTTGCTTTAAGTGATTCAAGAGCCTTATTCCGTAATTCAATCTCAAGCTTCTTCTGGTCAGATGGTGTCTCTTCATCATCACTTCGACGAAAATCCTTTCTTTCAGCTTCCTCCTCATCTGAAGTATAGCCATCTGTTCTACTTTTCATTTTCAGCTTCTCTGCACGCCGCTCTTCCTTTCTACGCCGTCTCTCCTCACGTCTTCGACGTTTCTCCTCCTTCCGCAATTTCCTCTCCTCCTTTTTCCTTCTCTTAGCCTCTTTCCTGTTCTCTAACTCAGAATCATAGCTGGATTCTTCATCTGAAGCAACCTTTCTCTCAGATCTCTTGTGCTTTCTTTTATCCTTTCCTTCTCTTCTATGCCTACCGCTTTCCTCAGAACCAGAATCACATGAAACACTCTGTTTAACTTCAGCATTTTCTGATTTGCCATGCTTATCACTACCCTTGGCAAAACTTGAATGTGAGTGGTACTTCTCACCAGACTTCTTGCTATCCACATCATATGATTCAATAAGCTTCTCACCAGAAAAAGATTCCTTATAAATCCGTGACTTGGGTTGAGTAGGAGTTTCAGCAACCCTTCCAGAAGATTTATCACTGCCAAGAAAGTTTTTACAGCATAAGATAAATTTGTGCAAGGTGACAGATTAGTAAGAATATCAGCAGTATGCCAACCAAACTACCTCCTTGTTTCCCGGCCTTTCTTGCTCAAATCAATACTATCATTACGTCCCTGAGATTCAGAACCTGGACGCCCAGCTGCCCTTTCGGGAGAGTACATATCCTCAGTACGAGTCTTTGCAGGTGAAACTTTCCACTTACTGTCAGGGGACAAATATTTCATTTTCCTTTGGGAAGACGTTGATTTGTGATCCCTGCTCTCTCTACCAAAGGCAGAGAAAAGAATAAAGTAATAACAGTAAGAAGGCAATTGAACAAAGGAATTTAAATACTATGTGGACAAACAAGACCAAGTAGAAGATATCCAATTAATATTAAAACCTAGAATAGTATGTTCCTTCTCTTCCTTCACTCATTTCTGGGCTATCACACCTAGGCTTCTGGATTCTTGATTTCTGAGGAGGGCTCAAACTTCCCTCTCGGGTCAGCATCTCCCCTTTTTGCTTCCGAGGGCTCTCATGTGGACTATATGGCCATAACAAAATACACATAAATATACCAATTTTACAAATAATTGAGTTGATTAGAGCATTAAATGAGGAGACAAGAAATTACCTGCTGTCTTCACTGAAAGTCTTATTCCTCGCTTGCGGAGATAATGACATGGTTGGAGACTTCTCAGGTGTGGATAATGAACCTTGTGATTTATAACGCAATGAGTTGCGATCCTTATCTCTCTGAACATTCCTAACCGGACTTGAGGATTGACGAGCAGCAGGTGACAATCTGTCTTGTGTTCTGTAATACAGTTATATTCTTGGTCAAGTATACTTGTTAAATGTATAAATAATTATATGATATTTAAACTTTACAGTTTTACTCATTAAATAAAATCACGTATACCCTAGACAAAACAAAATTATCCAAGCATCCTGCTAGGCATCGTTATACCTGACCCTTCCTTCAGAAGACTGCACAGGACTTCTTGCGGGTCTTGGAGCATTTCTCCTCACCGGGGAGGAAGATGCATGTCCTGGAGGAGACCTGGAACTCCAATCACCTGAAGAGAGAGACCTCCTTGAGGAAGGACTTGGAGACCATTTACGATCAGAAACAGGAGATCTATGCATCACAGGAGATGGAGACCTGCGTTGTGGGGTTCTACTTCTATACCTTCTACGCACAGGAGAGTGGGATGGCATGGGAGAGGGAGATCTTCGACGTACAGGTCTTGGTGACATTTTGCGTATAGGAGAAGGGGACCTTCGTCGTTGTATGGGTGACGGTGATCTGCGATGATGCAGTGGAGAGGGTGATCTGCGTCTTCTCACAGGAGAAGGTGATCTGCGTCTTCTAACAGGAGAGGGTGATCTGCGTCTTCTCATAGGAGGAGGAGGTGATCTGCGTCTTCGCACAGGAGAGGGTGACCTCAAAGGAGAGGGTGATCTACGTCTTCTCACAGGAGATGGCGATCTGCGTCTTCTTGCAGGAGAGGGTGATCTACGTCTTCTAACAGGAGAGGGTGACCTATGACGTAATGGTGAACGCACTCTTCGTCGCAAAGATGGTGATCTGTAATGTGAACGAGACGTAGATCTTCGCCTAGAATAAGATGACCTTCTGCGGGGAGATCGCCATGGTGAATGCCTCCGAGGAGGAGAAATAGATCGTCTTCGTGGTGAATGACGAGTCCTTTCAGATGAAACGGAGCGTCCACGTGCTTCTGGCAACCTGGATGTACTTCTTGACCTTTGTCTGTCACTGAATAACAAACTTATTAATACAACTTGAATCCAGAAAAAGGAAGACAAAAAGGTACTCCTGTTCTCGGAACCAAAAGAGTGCACTTGTTATGTAGTTGAGGACTGTTTACATGAAAGGAATAGGCAGGGAATGAAACAAACACCCACCCGCTGGTCAAGTTGCATATCATAATAGGACTTCTAACCACTAAAAGTGACGTGTACAAATCAAGTTAAAGCAAGCAAATTTAAAAGCATACCCAGAATAACTTCGGGAATTCGAAAATGATCTACTCATTGATCTAGAAGGTGAGTCTCTGCCAACATGTAACATTAATTTATGAGCTTCAAAGTTAGAACACAGAAATATATTAAGCATACAATTCCGTAAAAGCATTACCGGTTAGGTGAACCAGAAACCGCAGGTGAATGGGGAGATCTTGAGTACCTATTACAAAGTAACAGCTAATTAGTAATCCATAACTCAATAAGAGCTTTGAGATGCTGAGTCGAATTCATCAGGATTCTCCCCACCAAGACACCTATTTTTCAGTTAAAGGAAATCCGGATATTCAACTTAAATTTAAGCATGACAAATTCAGATATCAATATGTATGGTTTTAATCAAGAAACTCCAACAAATATACCCAACATATGAGAAATGACTTCGAATGACGACTTAATAGTGACACAATTCCACCTAAAAGTAAGATCAAAAGTTCAAAACCCCATCCCATTCCCTACTTCAAAATTTGACTGACTATCATCATATTAGTGCTTATAAAGAACACATCATCCGATTTACCTGTTCCTTGATCTCACACCATTCCTTTTGTCAGTTTCTTTTCCATCTTGACCGTAATCTACTGAATCCCGGGGCTTCAAGACTTGGTCTGATGCAGTATCAGTATCCTTGGCATCAAATCCACCATCCTACAGTAGTTTGAGGTAAAGGACATGAACCCAAATAATTGCGGAAGCTAGCTGAATACCATGAAAACATAAACCGAAGTTAAAACCAAAAAAGCAGCTCTATGAAGTGCAAGTCCAGCATGAATAAAGTAGTATTACCATCTTCTTCACCCTCTCCTGCAAGAACTCTCTACCTTCTTTATCTCTTTTCTTCTGAAGTTCACTAGTTATTTTATCATTTTCAACCTAAATCATTCATGTGGAGTAGCTTCGTTAGAGCAAATAAAAATTGCGGGAAACAAATAAACAAGAGAGTTAAGTGTTTGCTTAGCAAGACTGAAATGCACCTTCTTCTTCCTGAGTTCTTCTTCTTTGGCATCTAAGAACTGCTGTGGAACCCCGCTGGCATTTTTCTGTGCACTGAGAAGAAGTGACCAAAGCTCCTTCATAAACTTTCCAGTGTTCTTCTCCATAAATCCAGTAATTTGTATTTGGACCTCCTTCCCGTTTACTTCCTACCTCACAACAATTGACATGACAAAAACATTAGCAACTGCACATATTTCGCAACATCGTCGAATATCAGAAGCAAAGGGACAGTGCTGCAAATATAATAAATAGAGCATTATACCTTCGCATCCAGAAGACCATGAATGAAATTGATGAGCACCTCATCCTCGAAGCCAAGAAGTTCAGTCACCCTTATCGTGATCCACGGCTTTATTACGTCCATATTCACCTTAGTCATATCGACCTTAAACCAATTTTTCAAGCAAAATTCAAGAAATGATAAAGTAAGAAAGACAACAACGTATATTATAATTTATCAAGATCTTGCATGTCGCAATTCGTTCCCACAAATTCCAGAGGCAGATTACAATTGTAAATCTGAGCTATAAAACGAACAGCTTAGTCACAGGAACGTACCAGGTGGTCCAGCTCAGGAGCGAACTTCTGAGATTTCAGCAGTTTCGCCTGCTTGTTTGAAAATCGAGTGTCTTGATCCGCAGACGTACCCTGAATACGGAATTCAGCAGATGCAATTCGTAAACAAAGTGATCAGTACCCATAACACATATCCTTGCAGAGTAAATTCAATAGAAGGTTTAAAGTTAATTTTTTCAAGGGTGCCCTTTATGCAAATTATCCCAATCTCAAATCTAAATAATTAGAGGTTCAAACATTGGATATCAACTCACTCTAAAGAACCCGCCCGACATTTTCTGATATCTAGAACTTCTGAACGAAGAGGAAAATGAGCAGCTGAGACTAAGAATACAATTCAATATGCGAAGAAAGTGGAAATCCGAAGGAGCACTCAGGTTCTACGCCATGCGCATGAACAGGTGGAGATGAAGGGATAAATAGTGGAAGAAATAGGCGTTGAAAAAACGCTGAAACCAACTCCTATAAGGCGCGAGCAAGGGAGTGCTTCCACGCGGGGCCGTAGCTAGGTTCAGTCCTCGGGTTCTGCTGTTCTGCAGCCTGCACTAGGCGAACTCGCGAAGAATGCCCTAATTCCGCGGATTCATCCCTGGCAGATGTAAGTTCCGCTTTTGCCCTTGGAAGCAAACTGCACTCTTGTGTGCCGGCTTGGCTATGCTTCTCAGTTAGGCATCAACTCTCTTATCGTCGTCGGTATCAGGATCAACGCATCATATCATATCGGGATAAAATATACAATGTCCAGTAAGGGTAAATAATAAACAGTATGATTATTTTATTTTTTAACATAAGATCTATTTAACTAATTTGATTAGATTAAAAAAATTAGATAAGTTAGTTGATTATAAGAAATATGATATATTTTTCCTAAAACACCATAATCATCTTCTTTAATATCCTTTCTCCCTCTTCTACTTGATTATGATTAAGGAAAATCCATAGGGTTAATTTACAAAAAAAATTAATAAATATAATAAATAGATTTTATATTTAAAACAAAAAATAACTCAATAATTAGATCTTATATCAAGGACTAGAGGAGTATTTTGCATGATTTTATATAAATAACAATGACTATTATATATTTCATTTATTGAATCTTAAGGTTGGCAAAAAAATTTTATTGAATCTTAAGAATAGCTGTATTATTTATGATTCATTAAAATATGCATGGTTAGAATGTTTATACCATATGCAGACATGGATATAGGTAAAAGTGTGCTTTATTTTTTATCAATGATGTTTTTTAAAAAAAAAAGTAAAAAGCGGTATGAAAAAAATTGTCACCTAACAATATGAAAATACTACTCGTATATTAGTGTGTGTGAGAGAGGGGGAGAGAGAGAGAATCTCATTCTAGGCATTGTGAATTTTATGGTGATGTTATCTCATTTTAAATAATTTTATATCATATGAGATAAATATATAGAAGAAATTTTGCGTCGTAAAGTTAAAAAAAAGAGAGAGAGAGAGATTTTTTTACCGATGACATTATTTGTCAAACTAATGATTAATCATCATCGGCTTAACATAGTTTTTTCTAACATATTTCTTTGATTTTTTGTTCAATTCAGCTTTTCCCCTGTCTAGTTTAAGCAAAATACCTGACTCTTCTATTATCATTTTTCTCCTCTCTCTTCTTTGTGGGAGCCAGCATAGGCGCCTCTTAGATTTTCATTTTCACTTTTCTTTTCCCCTCGACATCTTGGAAAAGCACGCGCGCACTATCCACCTCTCCATTTTTTAAGTTCTATTTACTCTCTGATTCATTCTCATTGTTTGTTTGATGATTGATGGTGTTCCGTGTCCGAAGATCACACACACAGGGGAAGCATCGAATTATTGATGACAACAAACTCCGAAGAAAATCTCGTTCATGATTAGAACAACAACTACGGACATGAAGAAATGCAAACTACTGAAAATCAAACTTGCTTTGTCATAGTGGCGACATCAGGTTCTTTACCAAGGACAAATTTTGCTATATCAATGCATTTACGACATTGTTATTAGCTTGTGTGCAGGGGGGAATGTTCAAACGGTAAAAGGAGAATAATTATGATATAAAGCTTCTATCGGGGAGTTAGCCACTTAATTTGAACATATTTGAAGATATAATAAGCAGACTGCCCGTGGGAGAATATGAGAGGCGTTGATGTACGTTTTGGTTTACCGCGCAATCAATAGGCGTGCAATTATCGGGAGAAGAATGAGACTAGTGCCTTCTTTCTTATCTAAACACACTCATCGCCATCCACCAAAACCAAAGGTCCACAGCAGGACATAGCTCTTTCACATTTGACGCCAAAATAATCACCAACCACTATGCAATCATCGTCTAAAAGCAGTGATTTGGGAAAGATGAGTTTTCTTCGATGTTCGCGTGGCTGTAGATAACGGAGGCGTCATATTGCCAGAGGAGGAGAGCTACACATATAGGTTGATCGAACTCGGAAGAGGCGACAAGAATAGTGACTTTTCACTAACTAGTATAAAGGCCTCTTTTTTTGGTTTGATGTTTGATTGTTTGGCTTGAGACGTTTTGTTCATAATGTGTTTCGTCTTCCTGATTATTGATTTTAAATGCCTTGTTCTTAGTTTTTCCCTTTTTTTTTCTAGGCATAACAATCTTGTTTAAGGTACTAGTCACCTCTACCAACAGAATTTCGAATATTATTTTGCTATGTTGTAATAAACTAGTTCTTTTAATTAGATATAATTCTCTCTTTGGTTTTTTCTTGACAAATTGTTTTTGGAGATATTTAAATAGTGTTCTTTTGGGTAAGAAGAAAAGCCAAAGGCCCGTGAAGGAAAATTACATTAAAGGGAACTAATTCCCATTTTATCTCTCTCTCTTGCAGTAGGCTTCTCGAGCTGCGGCAAGCAAATATCCCTTCCAGAGAGGAGACGCAACATTCCTACTCCTGCAGGTGCACCAGCAACCATATTACAGTCTCTTGGCACATAACTATAAATAGGAGTGATAATACAGGTCAATTTGTGGGTTACAAATTGACTAGTGATGGCTTAGAATTAAGCATTACAGGTTAAAAATATCCTGTATAATGTTAGGTAGGTTGAAAGCCAACTCTAACCCACCATGTTGGGTTGACGAGTTGGCTAGACAACTCACCAACTATTATCTTTCTCTTTTTTATTTTTAAATATTTTTTTATACAATATAAATAAATTATAATAAAATTTCTATTTTTCCTTTAAATACATGATTGAAAATACCAAATAAAACATAATAATATAATTATAATAATTAAGAAAATTGAAAAAAATAAATGCGTGGTAAGCTATGAGTTTGGCGGTATAAGTTAAAAAGTTTTGTTCACTCCCACTAATAAAAAAAAAAAGAGAAAAAGACAGTAAAATAACCTCAAAATTATTAAATAACAAATTAGGGTAGGTAAATTTCAAAATCCCAATTCAGACTCTAGGTACCATTTTGGAATTTTCAAATCTTGTAAAATTACACAAATGCCCTTTACCTCTTTTTTTTACTTTTTTTTTTTAAATACTGCCACATCAGCAATTCCGGCCGCCGGCGACCCTACCGGCAACCAACCACCGAGCTCTGGCGACCGGTCATCGGAGTTCCGGTGATCGGTTGTCGGAGCTCCGATAACTACTCTTTCTCATATATTAACTGTTCTTTTTTAGCCATTGACTACATTTATTTTTGAACTTTGATGACATGTTACCGAAACTCCGGTGACTAGTCAGAGGTACTCTAGTGACTACTCTTTCTTATGTATTGACTACTCTTTTTTAGCTATTGACTACATTTATTTTTAAATTATGATGACTACTCTTACTTATGTATTGACTACTCTTTTTTAGCTATTAACTACATTTATTTTTAAATTCTGATGACTACTCTTGCTAAGCTATTGACTACTCCAGTAATGCAATTTACTACTCTTGTATAGTCAATAACTATATAAAAATATTCATTGGAATTTTGAAAACAAAGGTTGTCAATAGTTAAAACAGAGTAATCAATAGCTATATGGAAGTAGTCACCGACAGTAAGGACAATGTTGTCATTTTACAAGATTTGAAAATTCCAAAATAGTACCTAGGGTCTGAATTGGGATTTTGAAATTTACCTATCATAATTTGTCATTTAGTAATTTTGAGGGTATTTTACTGTCTTTTTCCCAAAAAAACGATGACTATTTATTTTTAAATGGAAATGTACATATTTATAATCACTTTTTTTTTTGGTTAGAAAGTGCGTTGTGAATTTAACTTCTGAAGGGAGGAATATCAGGACGAAGGCATGCCATGGTAAGATTATTGGACAAATGAAATCATTCGCCATTTGATTATTTTTCAAAATAGAATAGTAAAATTATACCTGTACAGCTCTATTTATATGACAGAAAGAAAATATATTTTTTAATCGTATTTATAGGGTATTGAGAGAAAATTTTATATAGATGTATAATTTTACTCTTTATTTATTATTGTGTTGACTTTGTTTACATACAGTATAATGTATATTAAATAGAGATAAAGTTAGAAAGTTATTGAATTTTAAATAATAATTAATGAAATTTAAGGTTTTTCTTAGTTTATGTGAAACACATTAAAAGTAGTTTATAAATAAAATCAGAAGAATAATACTTATCGATGTCTGTTTTTGGGAGGCAACTCAAGTGAATATTTGATGCTACTCATAATTAATGTTTCTATTTTGGATGATTTATAATTATTAATTAGCAGCATACATAGATAACTTATTTGCTATAGTCTAACAAACGTGTTAATCATTCTAAAGAAATTAAATTTAAAAAAATGAGAATTAACTTTAAAAAAAACAACTATGCATTAAATAAATAAGAAATCCGAAACAAATATACACAAATATAAAGAAGAAAGGCTATTTCACAAGCACCATTGAAAGATAACAATTCAATATATGAAGAGTAATATACTGCTTAACCCAACAAGAATTGGTCTAGTTAGTAAGTAATCGGTTCATAATATATAAAGTTAAGTTCGAATCTCACTATCAATGACAATCTGTAAATATATATGTAAGTACTTTCTAAACTTGAAGACATGTCAAACAGACCCATCTCACCTAAGTTTTTGAAACAGACAGGTTATTAATTAAGACAGTAAATGGTCTCATCCCTATAAGGAGAAGAATACAAGTTCAAATCTTGGAAGCCCACTTGTTAAAATGACTTTAATTTTAATGCTCCCAACACGACAGATATTGGTTTGAAGCAGCTTGAGGGTACTCTAAGTTATATTTATATATATATATATATATATATATAAACTGCCTTACATAAGCTAGAGAATACCACTCTACGTATTAGCAAGTCTTTCTCATGTTCATGTCCCGATAATGCCCGGAGGGATATGCTTCGCGCCTTGAAACCTCTTGTTCATTGTATTTTTTATTCATTGCTCACATTATGCTTGTTTACGAGAGATCGGACCGGGATAAGCTCGTCTTGATCTTGTCCTGGTGAATAGAAACGAGACATATCATTTTTTTTTTTAACAAACCAATATAATCTGGACCTGGATCTTTTTTTTTTTTTTTTATGTTGTAATCTTTGTTTGCTATTGGGTTTTTGAAGATAAAAATATTAAGAAAATA